ATAGTTACGTTGAATATTAATGATGATACCTGTATTTCGCTCGTCTTTAGCCTCTTATCCTGACTATTGTTTACAATAATGAGCTGGTAATTTATTTATCAATTAATTATATTTATAATTGATTTTCAATATTATTTGCAATTTATTTTAATTCGTATGTTTAACTGACATTTGATATGTTTGTTTTTATATTTGATACCAAAGATGATTCAATAGAGATCAAAACGTGAATATTTTTAGAATTTGTCATAATGTTTAACATTAAAATCTATATAACTCGGTTTGTAACTTATTATTGTTTGTGTTAGATACTTCGATAGCTTCATATAGAAAAAATAATGTATAAGAAATAAGTGTAAGTCGACGAACATAAATATATAGCGGCGTATACGAGTCAAGCGCGGTAATTAGTGCGCAACAAATAATAAAAGCAAATTATTATAATATTCAATCTGTTCATATAAACGTTTCAGAATTGATCGTCGTGATTATATACTATATATTCACATAAGTCGTAATTATTTGCTATCCACTGAATATTCATAAGACGAGGCATTTTAATTGTTAAAAATGTCGATGTACCGGATAAGTCTTTAGAAATGGAACATTTATATATCTCACTTTTAAAATATAGTAAAGAGCGTGGGAAATGATTTTAAAGATTATCGAATATGAGGAAAGTCGTAGTTTGCAAATATTATTCATATTAAATATATAAGTTTACTTATATTCTTATATTACTTCTACATATACATATACATATATGTTCTTTATAATTATCAAAAGAAATATCTTTTTTATAATGGTTTTTCGTAATAGTTGTTTTTTAAATGTTAAGCTGAATGTTCAACGAGCAGCGAACTAATTAGATATATATATGTATAGTATGTATATCGAAGAAGGTTTAAATAAATTTGTTAAACTGTTCGTTCATTGTCCATTATACTGTTGATATGTTAAAGGTAAAGAAATGACAAGCTTGAGAATAACAACGTAATTAATAAGCGCCAATCTGTTTCTGTAAAATTTAATTGCTCAAAAAACTAATTTTATATTTTCTTTGCTATTTATATTTTATATCTTCATAAGAAATAATTTTTGGTATTATCTTATTTTCAAGTTATCATACTATTCACGTTTCTATAACTAACATTAAATATGATTTCTATCGGTCGCTTTCACATGTTTAACGAGTTTCTGTTTCTGTGAGTTTCTGTTTAATACTAATTGTTGCTTTCTAAAATATGCAACATTTATGAATTAATCAAAAAACAGGAGTATATGTCTAATAAATTGACAGATTTCTTCTTTAACTGTATTTTCTCTCTCTCTCTCTCTCTCTCTCTCTCTCTCTCTCTCTCTGCACTGTATTAAAAAATTTGTTTTCTTACAATAAATTGATATATTTGCATACATCTGAAAATCAGGATGAGACACTTAAAAATGTGTCTAATTAACAGCTTAATATTTTTTATTATTGAATATTTTGGTTTGACTGTTGAAGTCTAATTATCTTATTTATTTTTTGAATAACGTGACACATTATGACATATCTCTATATAAAGTTCCTTACGATATATCAAATATACGATATTGCAAATGTAATGCTACCATATTAAAATCAGATGTCTAACGAGGAACATAAGTTTTTATGCGCAAGAGCCACAAATAAGAATAATTATTCTACAGCTGTATAAAATAAATTTTGCAGAAAGTGGAAACGAAGTGAAAACTTCTGAATCCTCATGCATATATGATCTCAAATTCCGTGAAAGATAAAGTGCAGGTGATAATCACTCATCCGAAAAAGAACATTCAATAATATGACTTTTGTTGTCATAGTAATATGTTCACATATTATTCTTGAATATTTGAGATAAAGCTAAACGATAGTGCCTCGACTCGACATGAATGCCAGTGCCGTATACTCACAGGTCATCACCCGTCTTCTTATATACTTGGCGTCGCGCCGCTACCGCTTTTCTTAAGTGCAGTTTAAATATGTGATCCTTATCATTTTCGTACTTCCGTACTTTATAGTCTGGGCGGTGGTGGTGGCCATGGCGGGTCAAGAGATACCCATTATTTCTTATAGCAACGACAATGCAGGTGACGAAAACTATCAATATAGTTATGAAACTGGAAATGGTATTACTGTGCAAGAAACGGGTCATCGGCAAGATAGGAGATTGTATTTCTGTTTCATGATTAAAATTATTAATTATTAATGAATGCTGAAAAGGTTGTATTTTTTTTATACGGCGGTATTAAATTCTGCTAGGATTTGATTTTTTAACAAGCGATAGCTAAACAATTTTTACTTCTGAAAGTGCCGATGGAAGTGCCACGTGTCGCAACGCGATGCGTTCTGTGACAATAAAGACATTGCGTCGAGTGCGTGCCGGTGTTGCAGGAGAATCCGAATCGGTGAACGGATTCTTTTCTTATACTTGGCCCGATAATGTGCAATACTCGATCACATATACGGCGGACGAGTACGGCTTTCATCATCAAGGCACTCACTCGCCGTCGAAGCCAGGGAAGAGAATCAGGACAGCGGTAGTGGAGGATATTCACATGGAGGGAACAGCGGAGGTGTGTTATATAGAGTTTTGAATTAAATATAAACGAACGTTTATAATTGTGCATATATTAATATCTTACGTATGATTTACTACTTATCGAGTTGTCTCATTATCAGGTGGTCACAGTGGACATGGAGGCAGTGCGTATCAGGGACCGAATTTGTACCAGAGCGGAATTTCAAGCGGTGGCTACCAATATCAGACAGTGGATTAACGAGGATCATTTACGTGCATTCCGTACACAGGCATACCATTTTCCATTTATCCGTTCTATGTATACGTAACGATTTATTATTTATAGAAATTTTTTATTTAGCGGCCGTTCATATATTACATAAACATATATGACTGGGGAAGGGGGTCAGTAAAATTCTGACAAATAATTACACGAGGGAGGAGAGGGGTCGTACATATCCTTACGTAGGATTTTTCATGTCTGCTGCTATCATGAAAAA